TCACCACCCTTTGAGCGCCAAGCAGTCTGAACATCTCCATGGACTGGACTAGATTCAGCACACTCTTGTAGTCGTACATGACAGAGATGCAGATTGTGAACTCATACGGGAAGGTTGTTGGAACGTCTCTGTTTCTAATAGGTTGGAAGGATGTTAGGCTCCCTGAGACGCCACTTGCTGTGATTGCAACATGCGTCGGTGTCAAACACGTGCTTTTGATTGTGCACGTGATAGTAGCGGTGCCGTATTCAAAGTTAAAGTGGTCGTCATGAATTGAGCATTCAGCTGGTAACCTCACGGTCGTCCCATCGCAGCACATCACACAACTGAACGTCGCCTGCTCACGTCGAAGAACAATGGCAATCGTCTTTATCTGTTTCTCACCAAAACGATGCTCCAAGTAAGAGCCGATCACGTATGTGTTAAGATGCCCAACTTTAACCACAGGCCCATCCTTCACTTGAACACCACACGCCTTTGGAGATGGAGGACTGGCGGATGTGTAGATGTGTGGTGTTTGGAGGATTGGTAAAGGATGAGTCGGCAGGTCAGAGTCTTCTGGTTTGGCATAAGGTGCTTTGGAGGCATCTTGTACATAAATGAAGACAATAAAGAAAAGCGCAAATAATAAGCAATATAAATAAAAGATCTTCAATGCACAGATCTTCTTCTTAGAAGGCTTTGCTTCTGATTCACTCTCTAGTCGTTCATATTTCACATCGCGTTTCCCTAAAGAAAAGAAAGAACACAAATCGTATGGTTGTTTCTATTAAAGCAACACGATTGAACATTTGATCACAATTTAAAGTTATTACATTCAATCCACTAATACGTGTGAAGGTATTCTTAATCCATTTGTGTTGGGAGTGTATGAATAATTTTATTGAATTGACTAAAACTGAGCAGTGCATTTTTAGTTCCAAGCATGCTTTGTATAAGAATGAATTGGGAGAGTAAAGCTGCATCCGTAATCGCATACTCCTCTACTATATAGTATGCAAAAACAGTATGTGAGGCAAGTAGTATGTCCGAATTCAGAGTATTCGAAATACAGTAGGTGAAAAGTACCTGGATGACCTACAACTTCCGTGTGCATTTGCACACTTTACTGTAGAGGATTTATGGACGTCAGTGAAGCGACGCAACTGACGCAGGTAGGTCATGTGACAGTAAAAAAATGGCGGATGTAAGCATGTCCACATTTCATATATACTATCCATATTTATACTATGTAGAGCACACTTTTTTAACGGTTGTGAAGTAAATTCAAATGTAGTACCTACTCAGTACGCGATTTCAGAGAC